CAGACGAGCGAGCTCGTCAACGCCGAATCCTGAGACACATATTCGGGGAGCCGATTGTTTTGCTAATTATCGCCAACGGGGCCTTGTGCGGGATCATCGTGTCGGTGTTCCTCCGCAATCTCAACTCGATCCTAAAGACATTCGCCGGTGCACTAGACTTATCGTTCTCGGCAGTATTGTGTTGGTTCATGTTCTCAATACCCATCGACATGCCGACGATCGTGGCCATAAGCATAGTGTCGATAGCGACTTATTTATACTCGCAAAATCCTGTCGTCAACAAAGTCAAAGAGACCGAACCGAAATCTACATCCGATATTGACCTCAAGGATGAACTCCTCGTTTCGCCCGTATGACTAGCGGAGCGGACGCGACTCAGGCGGAAGTGAGACCAAAATGAGACAGACATATGTATGTATGTTCAGATATATCTCTCTTAGGATTGAGGAATAAATCCGAAGTATTGAAAAAACAGTCGAGTCCCATTCTCCGAGATGCTCCGTTTCGCTCTATCTCTTCCATTGGTCGATCTCTACCTGCCAGAACCGGGGCAGCCGGAATCCCCATAGGCCGGGATTCTCATGAGCCAGAGTCTGATGAGGAGCAACATGTAGAGGGAGACGGCGGCAGCAAGGTGGGACGCTCTCCCCATCGAAATTCCGCCAACGCGATGCAGAGCGCCTGTTTCCTTCACCAAGGCTGAGACTAGCGGTTGGGATCCCCATGGTTCATCATTCATTATCTCATCTTCCTTCGAGCTGACTTTGAGAGAGGGGGATCAGGCTTTCATTCAACGAATGAATTGCTTTCCTCGCTTGTTTCCGGTGGGGATCCCATTTCATATCATGTTATCGCTGGAGTTATCGCTTACAAGTTCTGACTGCTCTCGGAGCAGGAAGCGACGGAGGAAACACATTTCATCAGAGTCTTCGCTTTGGTTCCGAGCTCATTCGGCGTTCGTTACAAGCGATCGTTCGACGTTCTGTATTTGGTTGACGATTTCGAGAGATGCAGGACAGCACCCATCAAAATGAAGCCCTGGCAACGAGGAAAATCAAAATCCTCGATATTCTTAATTGAATTGATGAAGCTCTCCTGCAATCCTTCCCTTGGGAATAGGTCTTGAAGAAATCGCTCCGGAACTCGTGGCAAGGTGTAAGATTGTTCGCATACCCTGAAAATAGCCAATCCAATCATCCACGATCACGCACTCGAACAGGATAGCTTTGGCTCCGAACCGAGTGCCGAGGAGCCGGATTGAATGAATGTTTGCCATGACCCGATAGAGATTATAATTAATTGATTAACAATACATCTCGAGAGATTGAGGAGCGAGATCCAATCGTACTGACTGTGTCGGCTCGAGTATCGCCCCCGCTACGCATTTCGCCGAGTCCTCTCCCCTGCCCATCTCTGAAAGAGGTAGTAATTTCGTTTTCAGCCGAAGAATCCTCCCTCACATGATATGCTAGGTATTCGGAATGGAATGCGACGCACCCATACGCGCTTAGCTGATGACTCTCACTCGCCCCCCCCCCTCCTCTCATCTTTCGCGAACATGAGGATAAAAAGAGGCTGCTCATCAACTTGACCTTCACTGTATCGGAGCTCTTCGGTGCTTTCGTTCCTGCTCCCTGCCCCCGTTCCGAGCCGGAGAGCCTTCAGTGACGGCGCCACCAAATCAAAGATCCTCATCGGCAGCACGGTGACGCCAAACAATACTGTCGAGGATCTGCCGGTAATATAACGGAGACTTTTGTGATTTGTGCTCGTTTACGGAGACGACCCGTGCGGAAACACGATGGCCCTTCCTCCGTTCCGCCAGCAGCAGTACCTAATGAGTCAGAATGTTCAAATGCGGCAGCGACAGAGTTCGAGACCCGTGACGATGGGGGGCAGTCCTTTTGTGAATACGGGCCATGGTCATTCGCAGTTTATTCCCCTGAAAGTCGGCACGAGAGCCGCCACACAGGTTGATTCACGAGTTCCTAAAGCTCCGAAGCCCCCCGGGAAGCCCTTGATGCCCTACCTGAGGTACTCGAGAAAAGTATGGGACCAAGTGAAGGCTCAGAACCCTGACATGAAGTTATGGGACGTCGGCAAGCTCATCGGTCAGATGTGGAAGGAGCTCCCAGAGGAGAGCAAACAGGTGTACATCGATGACTACGAGCAGGAGAAAGCGGAGTACAATGAGAATCTCAAGAACTATCACAGCTCCCCCGCTTATCAGAGCTACGTTGCCAACAAAGTCCGTGCCCAACAAGCGGCCGAGGAGCGTGAACAAAACGAGAAGCTAGGTCGGGGCGGGTACTCTTCGAAGGATGCCAACAAGGTTTCGATTCAACCGGCTGAAGACGACGATGACACGGACGAGTTATCGGTGAAACACCTGGCTGCCTCGAGATACATGCGGAATCATCGCCTCATTCACGAAATTTTCTCCGATGCTGTGGTCCCAGACGTTCGATCCGTCGTGACAACGCAGCGCATGGCCGTTCTGAAGCGGCAGGTTCAGTCTCTAACAATGCATCAAGAGAAACTCGAGACCGAACTTCAACAAATAGAAGAGAAATTCATGGGGGCCAGCGAAGTCTTCAATAACGAGCTCAAAAAGCGAAGGGTGAAAGCTGTTGATCAAGAGGCGTATCAGAAAATGGTCGACCGAGCTCTGGAAGCTTTGAAGGAAAACAAAAGGAGGATGCTATCCGTGCAGAAGAAGAGGCGAAACAAGCCGAGCTCGACACCGCTACCACAGGGTTATTGTGCCAGGGTTGTGATATGGCGGGTGCCACGTGTTGTCGACGCGCCTGAAGACGGCCCCAAGATTCAGTGGACTCCGACTCCCGCTCCGCCATCTGGGGTAGCGGAGTCGCGGAAGGGGTCGGGCTCGCAGTTGGCAGAATATCGCCTCCTCTCGAAGGCCCAGTCTTGACATCGTCTTCGATGCACTGCTCCCGAGCCGGAAGTGATGCCGGCTTGCTCGATCTTGCCTCCAGACTCCTGGCCAGCTCCTGCAGGCTGATTCGGCAGGACTCGGTACCCTGATCAAGACGGCCTTCTTGGTGTGCTCGATGCATCGTCGGCATCGGCGAGTCGCAGTAGCCGTCCCCATACGCCGTCGGTAGGTTGTAGTAGCCGCCCCGATACATCGTCCTCAAGTCTTCATAGAGTCGTCGGATCTCAAAATCCACATCGGTCTTGGCAGCGAACGACATAATAATAATAATAATAATAATAATAATAATAAGAGTTTATTTAATCACTCGCGAGCAATGGCTGCATTCGTGATACTTATGGCGCTATTGGTGAGGAGGGCGGAGGGAGATGGTCTAGGCAATGCGCTTTGAGTTGTTTTTTGAACTGACTCAAATTGTCAACAAGGCGGAGGTCGGCGGGAAGAGAATTCCAAGCCAGCGGGACCTGGTAGAGAGGAGAGGTACGCGCGTAGGCAGTACGGAGGGGAGGGAGGGAGAAGTTGAGAGAGGTTTGGCGGCGAGCAGACGTGCAAGAGCGAGGGGATGGACGGAGGCATTCAGGGAGGAATCCGTGATAGCCAAGAAAACCAAGATAAGACAATCGATAGAAGTAGAGTTGATGAAGGTTGAGGAGAGAGTACTTCCTGAAAAAAGCCGAGATGGAAGAGCGAGGAGGGAGGCCTAAGACTGCTCGTAGAGCGTTGTTCTGACAGGTACGGAGACGAGATAGGCTATAAGCGGGAGCCGAGCCCCAGAGAGTGATTGCGTATGTGAGGGAGCTGTTGAATAGAAGTTTGTAGACTATGATTAGATGAGCGCGTGTGAACCCGAGGCGTCGGAGTCGGTGTAGGCAGAAGACAATAGAGTTGAGCTTGTTTGCGAGAATGAAGAGATGCGCATCCCATGAGAGATTGGGCGTGAAATGGATGCCAAGGCAGGGTGCGGAGCTCGAGAAAGGAAGGGCGACATCGTCCCAGGTGACAGGTTGAGAGGGGTTGGTGACTGACTTATTACGTGAACGGAAAAGCAGCAGGTTGGTCTTGCTGGCATTGATGGAAAGTCTAAGGGATCTGAACGCGGCAGAGAGGGATGCGAGATGCTTATTGAAAGCAGCGAGATCGAAGGACAGGTCTGATTTTCGGATCTTGAAGAGAACCGTGGTGTCGTCGGCGAAGGCAACGGCCCGAAGAGCTGGTGAAAGGGAATTGCCGAGAGAGAGAGGATAGAGTTGATGTAGATGAGAAATAGAAAAGGTCCTAGTACAGAGCCCTGGGGGACTCCATGGGAGATCTGGAAGGGGTTCGATGTGGCCCCATCGGCCGAGTAAACAAGAGTTCTGTTCGACAGGTAGGACTGGAGCCAACGGACAGAGTGAGGGTCAAAGTTTAGAGTGTCAAGGAGGGAGAGAAGGATGCCATGGTCAAGGCAGTCAAAGGCTTTCGCAAGATCCAGGAAGACACCCAGAACCAGGAAGCCAGAGTCGCAGCCTTCGAGGATGAAATGGCGGATTTCGGAGAGAGCGGTATCGGTGGAGTGACCGGACCTGAACCCATGCTGATGAGGAGAGAGGAGCTTGTTCGTGAGGGCGAAGGACTCGAGTTGCGAGAGGACCGATTTTTCAAAGAGCTTAGAGAGGAACGGAAGCAAGCCCATAGGACGGTAATTGGAAGGATCGGCTCTGGGGCCCTTGCCCTTATAGAGGGGGATGACAGTGGCGAGTTCGAAGGCTTGGGGGAATATGCCAGTTCGAATCGAGAGATTAAAGAGGAACGCAATTGGGATAGCAAGAAAGTCGATGGCGAGGCAAATGGTCTTGGAGGGAACCATGGTCGAGGAGTGGGAGTATGAAGCATCATTGATATGTTTGCAAATCTCTGGGAGCGTGTTGGGGTCAATGAAGCTAAGAGAGAAAGCCGCGTGCGGGGAGCGCAAGTAGGCAGGGCTGGAGGAGGCGGAAGGCAGCTCCCCGAGAGGGGGAAGACAGCGGGCAGACGTGGTTGCACCTATCGTAGAGAGAAAGGAAGCAACGTCGTCGAGGGCGGCGTCGGATCTCGAAAGTTTAGATGGTTTCGAGTGTGAACGGCCAGTGGCAGCATTAATAAGCCCCCACAATCTGCTTGGGGAAGAGCCAGCCTTAGCCACGAGTCGAGCTGTATGGGAGCGCCGGGCAGCGCGGACTTCGCCCCGATAATGACGGAGGCAGGAGTAGTATTGAAGTTTGAGTGGTTGCGATTTGTGTCTGAAATAGCGCCGAGCGGTGCGATTGAGAATCTGGCTGAGTTGTGTCAGTTGAGGGTTAAACCAGGTGGATCGACGC